CCCTCCCTCCCTCATCTCCCTCCCAAGGGACTGATCCATGGCGCTACATCGAATTGAGCACCGCCAACGCCCTCCATGGCTCCTCTCCTATGTCGAAGCTGAGCTGCGACCGGGCGGATGCTCAACTGCATCTGCTGCTCGTGCTTCCCCTGTTGAGCACCGACGACGATGACGAGGTCGAGCAGAGTAGCTAGGGAAGGTTGACGGCGAGCCAGTGGAGGTGCAGAACCAGGATCCGGGGGGGCAAGACGATAGGAGAGCACGAGAAGGTGCTGGATGGCCGCCGGGGTCGCCGGAGCGGGCCGGAATCGGCCGGCGGTTGCTCCCCTTCTCCAGATCCCTCATCCTTCGGAGCGTGCGGCGGCGTCGAGGCTCGGGAGGAGGAAGCGAGCAAAGGGAAAGGGAGAGGAGAGGATGCTGGACGTGGCGCTCGGGACCTTATCCCTTCCCTCGTCGCTACAGTAACGCGATAAAAGGAGACGTGGCCACGTCCGCTAGGCGCAGTCCCTCATCCTTTATATGTTCAATTGGCTGATGTCATAACAAGGCTCGAAGGCTTGCTAGATATTAGTATGAGAGAAGCTGTGGGTATCCATGTTTGGTTGGCATCGTTGTTTAATGGCATTTATATCCAAAACACTATAACCGTTTGAATAAGGTGGGTACGGTTCTTTAACATTATACAAGCATGTGTGTGCTTGGTGCTTGGTTAATTTGTATTTGTGCAGTTACCTGTCCAATTGTTGAGATGACATATGGGAGAAATCCTTCCGTTCAAAAATAAATCTAGGAGAAGTCCTTTTTGGATATAGTTTTTTTTTGTATGAGCCGAACTAAATGCCAAAGGTGTAATTGCCGACATTTTGAAGGATGTTTGAAAATAATTCACCAAAATACAGAGGGCGAGTGAATTGGGAATATGCAGCCGCAGTTACAACTTCTTTGGTTCATACAGATGCCATTACGAAACATGTTTTTGAGAAATATGTACAACTTTGTGACGCACTTTCAGATAGCATTACTTTTTAATACACCAGGACCCTTTCTTGTCCATTGCGAGCTTTTACATTGGAAAAAACAGACAATCATATATTTATGTTATCTCCGTACCTCCCTTTGCTGCCTCACCATGGCCTCCTCTTTGCCCAAATGTCACTGTATTCACTTGCTCTCTGCTTCATCACATATGTCATGTGGAGGTAACTATGCCCCTTCCTGCCGCCTCTTCTCCTACGCCGCCTTCTTCCTCTTGGAACTGCCACGATGACATTGCTTTGACGGAAGATCACTATCAATGTGCCCTGAAATGGTGTATGAGCAGAACCACAATATGCTTTTGTTCTTCTCCATTATCCCAATAAACACTTTCCCTTTTTTGGAAAAACAATGATAAAAAATGAAGTACCAAGTGGTAACCATCTCTCTTGTACCATCTGAATCAACCGCCGGGAAGCTCTGGCTTATATAGCCGTAGAGAGAGATGTATCATGCATATATTAAGCTCCTTCACGGTTTTATTGTTAACCAACCAAGACATTGCATCCCTGTGTTCTATTTGTGCAGCATGCAGTCTGTATGAAGATCTAAGCACGAACCATGTGATGACAGACTGACAGAACGCATAACTCACTGTCCCTGGGAGCATATAACAAAATGTCAAGCTTTATCTCCATCTCTCAATCTCCCAGTGTTCGGGAAATAAGAAAAATTGAGCAACTTTACGCGTGTCTCCTCTGACACGTAGTAACAAACAAGCAACGATATGGGATATACTATGTCATTAATAATGGTGGGCGTGGAAAAACTGAGTTTCAAAGGCCCGACGACAGTCTCAGGAATATGACCCTCCAGCTGCACAATCAAACAAAATGGGACAACAGATCGTTTTTAGGCGTCCAGAATTTTTCAGAACTGACATAGCACAACAAAACCAACATGGCATTTCCGAAAACAGGATGTTATGCTTTGATCATACAACTATCCTTCAACAAAACCAACATGACATTCTTCTATAATATACACATTCCAGTTTGATATTCTTCCAATCCAATTGCAGGACGAGCAGATGAAATACAAGTTACTACGTTAGACATCTCACATCTGGTACAGGCACCAGAGACATTTCTCTTTCATTACCGTAACCTTGTTCTAGGAATTCCAAAATCTCATTACAGCAATGGTAGGAAGCTCTCAGCAGTTGTTAGCACACCACTCTCCACTAGGCACTACTCACAAACTTTGATTAGCCAAGAATATACAGGGGACGACACTAATTCACAAAGAAAACCGACCCAAACCACCAATCTTGCATACATACAGAAAAGCCCACACCCAAGCCAAACACGTGTTCGGTTAGGGCTCAGGAGCCATTATATTTGGCCTCCAAATCCTCATGGTCATCATCCCCACGAGACTTCTTCAATTTTGCCACTAGAACCCACATGTTTGCAAGCTCACTCTCCAAGAAGGCCTCCTTTTGCTTTGATTCCTCGACTTTCCTTTGGAGTTCTGCTTCCTTTTGTTCCTTCTCCGTAATAATGGTTTCTAACGCTCTCTCCCTCTCTTCTCTCGCATTGCCATCTCTTCTGCTAGCTGGTTCATTTCGTCTACTCATGCTCTCTCGCCTAGCAGTACCTCTTGGTCCATTGCTTACTCTGCGAGGGGTTGGACTTCTCTGCGATGCTAACTCGGAAGCAAGCTTCTCATTTTGGTTCATGAGTTTGGTCACTTCTTCTGACAATGCTTTCAATTCCACTCCTGCAGCCGAAGCCAAGCCTTTTGCATATGTACTTTCCTCTAATAGCTTCTGATTGCGAGCCTCGAGTTGAGCTTTGACTTCGGTGAGTTCATGTACCCTCTGCTTTAGCTCACCAAGCTCAAGTGACTGAAGATAGGGGGAAAAAAGGAAACAGTAGAACAAATAAGCAGACTTAATAAATGTTGATGGCATTTCTAAAATATACACTTAGGGAAGATAATTACAAATACTACTCCCTCTGATCCATATTACTTGTTGCTCAATCGGACGTATCTAAACGTATTTCACTGCTAGATACATCTGTTTGTGTGGCGAGTAATATGGATCGGAGGGAGTAGCATATTGCAGGGAGTACATCACAAAACTTGAAAGAGCAATTGCCTAGTTGCACAATTCAGTTTAATGAACACCTCATTGAACAAATCAGTTTAATGCAGACCTCACCATGGGACACGGGGTCAAGACAGATTTTCACACTGATAAGAATGTTTGTTTTTGATATCTGCCTGTGTAGCTCAGAATCAGACCATTATTTATTAGTGAATTCATTACAACAGGTTTCACTTATTGGGAATGAACTGTGCACACATGTGATAAAATCCTTGGAGAGTTTAGTGTTAGCAACCCATTAATACGACAAGAAACCTTAGGAAATGTTCAATGGTGTGATGTCAGTTATCTTGTCAGTTTTTGGCACATGTGAAGAGAAAGTGTGGCAATCTGTTGACGAAGCTTATTAAAAGAATGTTGAGCGATAGGATAACTCAGCCATAAGACTCAAGAGATAAAAGAGATAACAGCTAACATTATAGTAGTTGGTCTTTAGAGATATGGCTCGGGTACGAGACTCAGGAAATATAAGAGACAACAACTTGTCTTTAGTGTTGTCTCCGGATGATATAGACAAGTCTTAAGAGATAGCAGCTGTGTTGCCTATGTAATTAATTTGAAGGCAAAATAAAAATAAAAATCGTGTTTGCTGAGCACAATGAAGTTCCAAAATATGGCAGAAGTAGGACCTGATGGTCAAAAGGAGAAGTTTCTGTTTCTAATTGATAAACTGATTCGTATCTCCTGGGCGTATTTATGAATAAAGTGCAAGCAAGGGCACAGCAAAGCAAACCTGCTGTTCCTTTTGCAGTTGTTCAGCAGAGATATCCCTGGAAACTGGTTTTTCTTGATCACTGTGTTGTTCTTCATGGTTTACTCCTGAACTATTCTGCATCATAATGCTATTTGACAGTGAATCCTTAGCTTGAAGAGCTTGGGAAAGATGTTCTTTAAGGCAAGCAACTGCCTCTTGTAATTCCATGCACTCAGTTGTCTGTAACACAATAAATTCAAATAAGTGGTATGAATTGATCGCCATAGTTATACTGTTGCACTTACAAGAAAAGGAAGCAAATTCTAGTGCATCTAACCTTTTCCTGTAGCTGCTCTTGTATTACTCTGTTATCTGCTACCTTCACCTGCAATAAGAAACAGCAAATCAGGCTTAGTGGCCAAGACTTGGTCTGACACACTCATATCATAGAAGAAGCTGTTCACAAAACTAGAAAAAAAACTTGATCTGCGCAGAGCTGTATCTAGAGGTGCACAATTAATCCACACAAAACTGAATCTATATTGGGCCTAACAAACCTAACAAACCCGAATGGAGTTCATATTTTACCCAAATATTCATCAACTTGTGTTCTGACATGTTCTTAATTTTTGTTTCACGAATCGAACTTACTGCAACTCCACAATATTAGTATACTATAACAATTGGGGATAATATATTCCTAAGGGTACAACAAATGTTCTTCGTTTCTTTCACGCCTCCACCTTACTTACCCACAATTACTCAAGCAATTGAAAATGACAAACTATGAAGAACAAAAAAGAAAAGAGCAGCAACGGGTGTGAATTAATGCTCCCTCCGTCCGGAAATACTTGTCGGAGAAATGGATGTATCTAGATGTATTTTAGTGCTAGATACATCCATTTTTATTCATTTCTCCGACAAGTATTTCCGGACGGAGGGAGTACTAGTATATGGGACAACAACAAAAGGGCGGAGTACCATACACGATTTAAGTACCTCAAGTTCGAAAGATTTCTCATTAAGTTGCTCAAGTAGTTCCCCGTAAGACTGCAAAACAAATAAAACCATCATATTGGTACACGGAATGTTCAGAAAGGTATTAGTATAAGACCAAGATGATGATAGAATGTTACCGGTGAAAGATCTAACTTGTCAACCTTCACTTGACTATTTGACAAGGAATGAGGCATCTGTTTTTCTAAAGATGATATCTGCTGCTGCTTTGCCTTAATTTCGTCACTGATCTTCTTCATTTTCATCTTCAAATGCCAAAAGATTGAGCTTCATGAGATGAAAAGCATGTAACAACTAACAATACACTAAGTCCTAAATCAGACAAGAGATTACCTGAATTTTCTCACTATTCGGGTTTCTTCCAGCTTCCTCGGTGAGGCGCTTTAGAACACTTGTATGAAGTGCAACCTCCCCTGATAAAATCTTTAATTGCTCTCTTAGTAAGTCAACATGGTCTATTGTTTTTGTGCTCGCCTGTGATCACATCACACATGAAAGAATGCCGTTAGACGCACCACAATGAACTGAAAATAAATAAGAGAACACTAATGACTAATCCCATGTGGTCCAAAATAGGTAGCTGTATCTTACTTAGTTTAAGTGTTTAACAAATCATCATTCAATTTAGAAACTATGTTAGCCTTCTTCATAGATAGTAGCTGCTATGTAGTACAATGTTTTCCAGTAATATTTTGTTCTCACAATATAAACTATTATCCATGCACAGAACTTGATTATTATTTTCAGAAATATGATATACTACATAAAAATGATTTTAGTAAGTATAAGGAATTTCAGGAAATAATTTGCCCCAATTTGAAATGCTAATTGAGTACTCATCGCATTTCTGCATGTGACACTTTCAAAGTGAGACTAATACTTTTGTGCATTGCACAAATTTCATGCAGTGTGCAACTGGATATTTTCCACCTGATAAAACCTGGTCTTACTAAAAGATAATGTTTCCTACCAGAGATGCTTCTTCTCCAGTAAGACCATCAGAAGGAAAATCCCCATGGCCAATGCTCAGCATATCAGCTGATTCACTCTCATTAACCAACGAAGTTGATATTCTTGGTTCTGCAGGAAAATTCAGACTCTCCCCAATAGGTGTTGAAGGAGCAGTTGATTTAGTCAAACTGGACTTATCGCATTCTGAACTTGTTAGAGTAGAAGCTCCACCGTCGCGTTTCTGGAAAAGAGAATAAGAAGAAAAAATGTACCGTGTGAATGGATTATTTTCTTATTAAAAAAACAGATGGTTTTCTTTATATTGATACCACTTGCATTTACACAAAAGAACAATTGAATATATGCAGGAACCATACACTATTAAGAAATGCCATATTTGCATACCCGAATTTTGAACCAGTTAAGAAGTCCTTTCCTGTTCTTTTTCTCCTCCTTCGAAGAGTCTTCAGGTGTCACACCAAATCCTTCGCCAGGAGTGAGTAATTCATTGCTTTCATTATCCAACATGATATCTCGCCTTCTGTACGGGAGGTAAGCCAGCTGCAGTTTTAGCAGGAGAATTTTAGATATATGAAGTTACCAAGATAATTGTAATTAAGTACTACCAACTCCCATGTTTCTAGAAACTGGATCTGTCCATTTATTCTCCAAAGTATAACATACCAGCAACCAAAGAAAACTAATATAAAAAAATATTAAGGTCTGCCATCATATATATCTATAACCTGACCTCCTCTTCCCCAAAAGAGTGTCTCCTTCTTGGCCCAGGATGTGGAGAAAATCTAGAAGTCGGAGTTGCCTTTGTGGAAACAAGGATAAGTTTTGTGAGCCTCTGTATCCTTGCAAGCAAAGCAGATTTGGCTTCCTCTTCTTGTTCAAGTCTTGATTGCAACTTGACGTTACCATCTTCTAGCTTTTCATATGATGAACAGACCATAGTTAGGAGGATACACCAACAAAAGAGAAAGTGTTATATAGTTCAAAATTATGCTGATTCTACACAATGCTTCAAGACACAAGAGCGGCTCAAGATAAGATGTCATATATAGAGTCAAGGACAAATTCAGCAACAATAAAACAGTTTTTCACCTTCTGCTTCCAAAGGATCATATTATCGTCTTCGGCATCTTTTAACGGAGTTCCAGTAATAATACCCATTTTCAGCTGTTCTAGCTCTTCCTTTAATCTGCGAATCTCATTCTGGTATTTCTTTATCAAAGATTTTTCATCAATTATCTGTAGATCATAAAGACAGATGCAGAAGAACATTTCAGAATGCATAAGTACCTCAGAATTATAACTTGAAAAAAAAAACACTGGCTTTAGAATTACAGGTAAGCAACTAATCATGACTTACCTTATTTTGTGATGCTTGGACCTCAATGCGCTTTGCACGGTGGGCAAATTTTAGTGTGTTGTGGGTCTCTTCGGAGTTGCTTGATGCCGGGGTCACTGTGCAAATTAGCTGCAACGAAATGATGTGGTTGGTATGTCACAAATCCAAATAACATTACATCTCGAATTAAAATCATAATCACATTAATTATAACCAGTGTGCCAAGTGGACAAAAAACAACTCACCGAAACGCGCCCTTGTCCACTCAAGGATGACTGAAGTAGCCGTGTTAGTTTTGAATCACGAAATGGAATATGTGTAGCTTTTCCATCAGTCAATTTTGATATCACCTGAAAAAGAAACAGGGTGATTGTTCTGTTGTTCAAGAAGAAAAAATTCCCAGTTCATGACATCTCAGACACCAAAACTTACAAATTGAGATAACAAACAAAAGCGCAAAACTAAAGCATGTTCCTTGACAAGATTGTTCACAGTTAAAAGATAAAAGATAATAGCAAATTAAATCCTTGATGAAAGTCAAAACAGTGAAGTGTTCGGACGTCAATCACTGAATAAACATGGGTTCGCCTAAATCGAAGACAGACAAGCGATACACAGAAAACGCCAGCGAAGAAAAATATAGATTTGTGGTCAAGTGATAAACAATGCCATGCATACATCTGAAGAATTCCGATCTTCCAGATTATGAATTTCATGTATCAGGATTTAGCACGTTATGATGTGGATAATAAACTCATTTAACTGCATGTTCCACATGAACATGAAGTCAAGAGCACAGCAGAATAGCAGATAACATTGTAACATACTAACATGTTTGGTAGTAGAATGAATAAAGCACAAGGCAAGGCAATGCAAAGATATCAGAATCTTATGACGTATAACCAGGTAGTACTTAGTAGCGTTAATGAGCCTTACCGTTCCAAGAGTTAGCAAGCTTTTATTGATGTAAGATCCTTCCTTCCGGCGTACTCCAGTTGTTTCTGCCCTTGAGCTCTCTGAACCTGCCAGATCAATGAGGTTCTACAAAAAAGGAGAGACAATTGAAGAATCAATATATACTCTGGCAGCATGGATCAAGACATGCTAAATGCAAGAAAGAAAAAAAGTCGGTAAATTTTAGAAATACGAAAAACAGCAGGATCCAAACACACCAGCTGTGAGAAGGTGACTGCTTCCCCTTCATTAGAGTCACCGTAAGAGCTGCTCTCTATTGTCTGTCATATAACAAGGAAAACCCTAAGGAGCATTTCCAGGCATCAAGTGAAGCTCTTTCACTAATATAAAAGTACATGTTGCAGATCGGTCAAATGGTAGCCTTGCATACTACAAACATATAAAAAAAAAATCACGCCTCATTACCAGTGTAAAAATTGTATGACTTCTACTACTTAGTAGATTGAAGTTAGTGGATCCAACATGTCTATGCTCTGCATTAGAATGAACACACTGATTAGCAAATAAACCGAATATGCTGGCTAAGGGCACATATAACAAGCACATCTGCACCACTGGAAAGTCAAAGTGGATACATTTTATAAAGTGAGAAATAGAGATACTACCACAAACGAGTGTACTCAGGGGAATGCAATCTCAACTTAATATATATCTTGTACGTATAACACTATAAAAGACAAGCATTTGGTGAACTAAAACCAGCTTTTTAACTTTTCTGTAATGCCGAAATTGTCTTTCTACAACTCTGTTAGTCAGCTGCTGGAAAGGCCAGTGATCCAGAATACAGTCAATGGCGAGCCGCTACATTGTCCTCTGACTCTTATCCAAAGGGTGTGCAGTTGAGAGGCTCTGCGTCATCCGTCATGTAAGACAGCCAAAGGTTTATCCAAAGGGTGTGCAGTACTTGACTAGTCATACTGCACGACCCACGGGTGCAGCATGATTTAAACCAGCAGCGAGTAGGGAGTAACCAGAGTATATGTCATCGTCAGCAGTATCAACAGCTCGAATGGTATTTCTCTAGTAAGTACTTACAATTATTAAGAGATTATGATCAGTTTCAGAACTTCCAGCTACTTGCCTAGTCCTTTCTTAAGAAAACTGAAAAGGTGTGAACTTTTCAGCCACATCACTGACATTGCTGCCACAAGTTCCGTTTATTTATCTGTTTCTGGCCATTGTTCTTCCACTTTTAGCATTCTTTTTTGTGGAAGTTATTTTATCCTAACGGTGGAGTTTATTTGTGACTGTCGGTTGTTTAGTGTTTGTTTACTCATTGCAGTGATGTGGCAGACATGTGCCATTCACGTCACCCAAAACGTTCATGAAAGCACCCGAGGGTGAAAAGTGAACCGGGTCAATAGTGCAAGTTTACAATGGTTTTAGAGTTTATGCTTAAAAGGTGAACTTCCGCTAGAGTTCAAGGTTGAGAAATACACATTTTCCTTTTTTTGGTGGTCTCGATAAATGGACATGTCATCCTCATTACTACTACTAGAGAGCCAAATGTTCGACCATGGCAAGTTGGCAACACAACAATAGATCCACAGGTGGACCAAAAAACGCAGACAATTATATCATTACAGAAGTTACCTTCTCCAGCTGCAATTAGGGACAGAGCATGTGCAGGAGATAATACCACTTCTTCTTTCATACCCTCGACAAACGTTCCCTGAGAAGTTAATGCGGGCCGAGGAACTATCAGTTCATTGTACAGAATAATAAGTTGCATTCATCCTAAGTGCCTATCAAGGTCAGGATTGAACTTCTAGGCATGTTACTCTAAGAATACGAACTTCTCCACAAATAAAGACATCTGGAATGGTACCCATCACTACACTGGAAAATGTATCCATGACTAGTACCATACATATCATAACTTGTAATGAAATGTTTTTATTGACCAAACCATACAAACTGCAAGCCTTTTGCAACCTTTGAAGGGCATGATATAACATTACTTCAGGCATGAATATTATGGGTATGTTTGGTGGTGCTGGAAATTGTCCTACTCCTTCCGATCCATATTAATTGTCGCTGATGTAGTACAATACTAAATCAGCGTCAATTAATATGGATCGGAGGGAGTACTAAAAAACTATCAGCACGACAGAGTGTCAGCAATGCATCCCTTCTGCTGACCAAGGAGTCACCAGATAGCAGGGAGGAGATGTGAGACAAGTAACAGGCGCCAAGTTCAAATATCGAATTATCGATTGGGTGTCGTGGGTTATTTGAGCTGTGTAATTTGTGTGGCCTGATGGGCCTGTACTGGCACTGTATATAAGACTGGTGGTGTGTGAGTGTAATGGCAGCTAGAAAAGGAACAAGCTGAGCTTCTCGCTCATTTCTCTACTCCCCTTCTGCTTTCTTCCTCCCCAAGTTCCATCCTCTACTTGTATCCCGAATTTCAAATTGGGTATCAATTATCTAGCTACTTTGTGTGAGGATTGTGATTAGTAGTAGTACATACATCAGAATGTCTGATTCTCTGACCAATTGTTTGGCAAACATTGGCAAGGGATGCTATTGCTATGGCAGGCTGATAGCAAACAAACATACCCTATGAACCTAGTCTTGCAGGAGATTCTAGAATAAAAATGCTGACAATTATCCTCCATAATAATCATTGCTGTGTTAGTAAGAAGCATCAGCAGTGCTTTAACTTAGAGAGGAAAGAGCTCTTAATGAAGATTAGGAAAGAAAGATATTGACACCTGAGGATCCTCTCTAATTCGTAAGCTCTGTCCTGCAGGATTGAGTAGATCATTGACAACCTAAAATTGACGAGTCCTCCATTAGAACAGCATAGCCAAGTAAAGTAAAGATCAATATACAGGTCGTCTGATGATTCATTGCGGGTGTAAAGTATTGAAACACCTACGAAAATATGGACCTCCTGACATCTGGGGAAAATTGCAAGAAAAGAAAAGGCAGGAAAATGAAAAAAAGTTTGTGCCAGATTGTAGTATTGACTAACATGGGGCTCCGGTACTGACACGGTGCACATTTTGAGATTTAGCAAAGACTTCTTCTCGGTAGACAACATACCAAGTTACACAGAAAACATCGCACACAAGAAAATTTTCTGTTTTCCAGTTTATACTGAATACATTGACATTTATGATCTATCCAACAGTTTTAGAACCATATCGGGCAAGAATATGCTTGACTGCCTTCTAGAAACATCAGCACGACAAAGGTTACATCAAACCAATTTCTATCACTTTTGTTATAGTAGCCAGCCTAGTAATCGTGCTAATTGTTACCAATGTCTTGCAGGTTGCAGGTGGTCCTGAATCATGATGAATTACACATCATTGCAAAAAACACTGATATTCTTG